AAATATCGTTTCAGGGCTGTGACGAAAAAATAAGTGGCCTAAATCCGATGAGAAAACAGGATTTGGGGGTACCCTAGGTTTGGTTACTTGCAGGAGTTGGCCCCCCCCAAAACGCAAGTCTGGATCCGCCAGTGTAGCGGAGTATGACTTCCTGGCGTTCAGCTGCAATTTAAACCATATAGAACGAATACCTTCACGGTATGCGAGACTGTTAGAGATCTCGTCTTCGTGTAGGTTTTGTGATTAGATCAATATTTTGGTACTTTTAGCAGCAACATGCTACAACATAAAAAAGTTCTCGCAAAGAGGCAATACATAAGCTATTCCACTACTCACGACTCACTCATGCAACAGTTTGTTTCTTACCTCGTGTGGTCATTGAAAATTGACGGCACCGCTGATGGTTTCAGGGACTTCCGCTGCCGTTGAGTTTTCCTAAATGTGTCTTCCACGAAATCATGTTGCTGGAAATGTAACTCGCAAATCCCGCTGTGATCTGGATTCCATTGACCATCTCTTTTTACAGCGCTGAGCCATTTTTTCCCTGATGTCACGCCTTTCATACTTTGGAAACGTAAACACTGAAACGTTTTTCAGGGAAGCAGTAAGATTACGTTCGCTTTTGGTGGGAGCATAACCTGACCTACAGCCTATAACCGCACATTTCACCATAATTATAGAAAAACAGAGTCCAATCCAGCGAGAACACATTTAGAAGACTTCGTACACTGTTGATAATTAAAATCGAACTCAACCCATTTTCCTCAGTGAAAAAGCAAGTGTCCCAGAACACCTTTAAACGTCTTCAATATTCCGCCCTACCCCGTAAATCTATGATAAATGTCTTGTAAACTTAATATAAGACCTTGGTTATAAACAAAGCATTGTCCAAGCCCGCATTGCCTACATTTTATCACAAATGTATTTTCGGTATTTCCCATACCTGCTACATTGCATGATTAAATCGAGACATCCAGGCATTTTAATGGCACGTGCACTGTACCACACTTTTCAAAGTTTAATGCAGTGCTTTAATATTGCCAGCCGTGTGGTTCAAGGGGTGTGGTTAAACGCCTTGAACCACACGGCTGCTGACGTCACTATCAATTATAATTGTGAGCTTTTTGGCAGGTATGGGAAACACCTTCCAGCCCTAAGGCCGGGAATTCAATAAATGTCACCTCGCTTTTTTTAGCGAAAAGCACCTCGGGCCTAACGGCCCTCGGAGTTTTCGCTAAAAAACCTCGGTGACATTTATTGAATCATCCCGGCCCCGGGCAGGAATATATTTTACTTTCTTCCAATGCCACGCACTTAAGTTATCGTGCGATTTTTGCAAAATACCTCCGCGCGGCTGAAAAAAGACTTAATTTTGAAGAAAAAAAAACATGAAAGAAAACAGCCCCTACGCCAGTGTATTCGAACTCGAAGAGAAAAATATGTTAATTAACACAATGTTGTAATTAACATACTAATTAATATTCAGTTGGTGAGTCTACTGCCTACTTGCCCATATTGACTAGGCCATGAATCTACGTCTACCTGTGGGTCGTTACAACCATAACCGTGCTTATATTGGTTATATACTGTATAATGAGAAGACTCATATTCACTGCTATAGATACAGATCTACATAAAGCAGGCAACAAGACAAAAAAGAGTTGGTTGTCATTTTGCAACCTGTCTTCAAACCAACAATTTAAGCATGCTTTATCGAAATGCAACAGAATGTACCGCAAAACCTTATAACGAGCTTTTTTCTTCAGTGAACAGCGATAGTTGTTGATTTGTGCATACGTAATCAAATAGCAAGGCTTTAATTTTGTTCTCTATTTTATCAGTAGACCTAGCGTTGTTTCAACTTTGGGTAGCAGAGTTTGTTAATAAATCGTAGATGGGGACAGCAACAAACCATTACAAACACTGCGGTGCTCACCGAGATACAAAGCGGGCGTGTACGCAAAGCGTCATGTCGATTTCCACGTGTCTGCCTGTGGCAAATGATTCATACTTGGCAACATAACACATCATCTCAATCAGTCCATAGATTCGAGATACAAAAAAAGGTACGCACGTGCGCACGTGCACCGATAGGCCAAGTATCGAGTGTGCGTCATTATCAGTTATATGTTATCTGACTACATACCAAATTTCATCCCAAACGGTCGAGGGGTTCCTGAGATACAAAAAAGGGGTACGCACGTGCGCACGTGCACCGATAGGCCAAGTATCGAGTGTGCGTCATTATCAGTTATGTGTTATCTGGCTTCATACCAAATGTCATCCCAATCGGTCGAGGGGTTCCTGAGATACAAAAAAAGGGGACGCACGTGCGCACGTGCACCGATAGGCCAAGTATCGAGTGTGCGTCATTATCAGTTATGTGTTATCTGGCTACATACCAAATGTCATCCCAATCGGTCGAGGGGTTCCTGAGATACAAAAAAGGGGTACGCACGTGCGCACGTGCACCGATAGGCCAAGTATCGAGTGTGTGTCATTATCAGTTATGTGTTATCTGGCTACATACCAAATGTCATCCCAATCGGTCGAGGGGTTCCTGAGATACAAAAAAGGGGTACGCACGTGCGCACGTGCACCGATAGGCCAAGTATCGAGTGTGCGTCATTATCAGTTATGTGTTATCGGGCTACATACCAAATTTCATCCCAAACGGTCGAGGGGTTCCTGAGATACAAAAAAGGGGTACGCACGTGCGCACGTGCACTGGTATACCAAGTTTTGATCTTCCTGTAGTGTTGACTGTGGTGTACCAGACTACATACCAAATTTCAGGCCAATCGGTTCAGCCGTTCCAGAGATACTGATGCACCATTTTCGAAAACATCCCTCACGCGCCACGTGCTCACGGTGGCCTATTACATGGTATTGCTTCAACACACGTGTGCCCTAAATTTTGATGAATAGGGCTGTCCAGTAGTGAGGACCGCAACATCGTACCTGACCTAGTTCCCGAGATATAACGTTTTACTTTTAGGGCCACTATGCAATTCGCCAGATTCGAGTGTCCAGTCCAGGTATGTAGAGGTCTATGCATCGACACAGACCACCGTGGCAGACGCACCGATGCTGCACTGAAGCTTTCCGCCCCGAAAACATGGGATAGCTCACCCCGATCGCGTGATAAAGACCACCCACTGATAACTTCCCACCGCCCGGCCGGCCGCCCGGCAGGTGTCGTGCCGCGCGGTGCCGATAAGGCGCTGCCGCCTGTGCGCGGCGTCGAATTCTCGCCCTTATTGATACCGGCCGGTCGGCGGGCGTAACATGGTCCTCTTTAAGCCGTTTGAGGAGCCCCTAACAGTTAATACTTTTCAGAAAAAAGGGCATCATTGGACTCAGAAAAGAATACCGCACCACATGAGCCATGAGCCCGTATACTTTTCCAAAATTCGGTTTTTTGAACAACCCTAGCATGACATGTATTGACAAACCAAATGCAATTCTTTAGAGAGAGAGAGAGAGAGAGAGAGAGAGAGAGAGAGAGAGAGAGAGAGAGAGAGAGAGAGAGAGAGAGAGAGAGAGAGAGAGAGAGAGAGAGAGAGAGAGAGAGAGAGAGAGAGAGAGAGAGAGAGAGAGAGAGAGAGAGAGAGAGAGAGAGAGAGAGAGAGAGAGAGAGAGAGAGAGAGAGAGAGAGAGAGAGAGAGAGAGAGAGAGAGAGAGAGAGAGAGAGAGAGAGAGAGAGAGAGAGAGAGAGAGAGAGAGAGAGAGAGAGAGAGAGAGAGAGAGAGAGAGAGAGAGAGAGAGAGAGAGAGAGAGAGAGAGAGAGAGAGAGAGAGAGAGAGAGAGAGAGAGAGAGAGAGAGAGAGAGAGAGAGAGAGAGAGAGAGAGAGAGAGAGAGAGAGAGAGAGAGAGAGAGAGAGAGAGAGAGAGAGAGAGAGAGAGAGAGAGAGAGAGAGAGAGGAGAGAGAGAGAGAGAGAGAGAGAGAGAGAGAGAGAGAGAGAGAGAGAGAGAGAGAGAGAGAGAGAGAGAGAGAGAGAGAGAGAGAGAGAGAGAGAGAGAGAGAGAGAGAGAGAGAGAGAGAGAGAGAGAGAGAGAGAGAGAGAGAGAGAGAGAGAGAGAGAGAGAGAGAGAGAGAGAGAGAGAGAGAGAGAGAGAGAGAGAGAGAGAGAGAGAGAGAGAGAGAGAGAGAGAGAGAGAGAGAGAGAGAGAGAGAGAGAGAGATACAACACGGCATAACAAGACGTGCGTGCACAGATTCAGTGATCACTGAAAGAGTTTCTGTGTATACATCGGATCTACCTCGTTGTGGACATAATGATCAAGAAACACTGATGGCGTTTTCCACCTGCCAAGGCGCTGCACATCGTCAGTGTCGAACCCGAGCTGCACAGCGCGGGTGGCGCCTGTCGGACGAAAATCTTTCGGAGTGTGACCCTGTGCAAGACCGAACTTCTCCGCCAAGTGAATCGACTCTTGTAAAATGGCAGAAATCGAACTCGCGGACACCGCAGCGAATGGGCGGACTAAACTCAGAAAAACCGGCCTAGAATCCGGACAGCGGGACGACTCGGTCCGTGTCAAGTACATACACGCGCAGAGCACTGACGGGATCAACGGCCTAATCCGGGTAAGATGGCAGCCTGACCTGGAAACCTGTTCGCTGCGCGTCATTTTTCACACCCAGAAACGTCACCTGTAGTGACCCATCGGCTTCGAACAGAATCTGATCAGTTGTCAAAACAAACGGCGAGGATGTCACTAGATCTGCATTAAATCTCTGAGCCAACGGTGCTATATCAGAAGGGCGCAACGTTAGCGCTATCGCTAATAAGGTAATCGCTTTCAACCGCAAGTGTTTCAACGGTAGCGACAGATTATTATCCCTAGACTCAAACAGACGCCTGAAAGCCGATATGTCCATGACAGACGAACGTGCCATCGGGGCACTTGTTCCACTTTTTACAATCGCCTGCGACAAGCGTAAGATCAGCGGATCCCGGAGGGGGTCAGGTAGCTCTAACACCTCATATAAAGCTGACAGCGCTGCCGACATGCAACGTAGTTGAGTGAGGTCGCGTGGACTTGCTACATTTCGTAACAAAAAAAATCTGCAATCGCCGCCGAGGCGGAAGGGGGAAAATCAACCTCGCGCTCTTGACAAAAATCTCGAAACTGTGCGATATAACGGTCATAATTTAACAGAGTGGATGCCGCCAAACACAGAGGCAGCTGCTCACGTGCTGGCCGAGACCATCCAGACGCCTCTAGCCGGGCTCTCCAGAGATCCGCCAGGCGCACAGAGTCCACCGCCTGTTGCGGTGCGGCTCGATCTGCCGGTGTTGCAGCAGAGGTAGACAGCTCTGCGTCACTGGAGGCAGCTGAACCGGCGGACAAACGCTGAGCCGCCGCAGCCGCCCCATCCAGGGCGCTCCCGGCCACAGTGGCGCGATCAGGGTGGCCACCGCCTGCTGCGCCTCCACCACATCCAGCACCCGCGGAATCAGACGAAACGGCGGGTTGACGAAGTTGTTGTGCTGGTTCCAATCGGACTGGCCCAGTGCGTCTAATCCGGACGTGCACGGGCCCCGGAACCGGCTGTTGTAGACCGGCAGCAGGGCTGTGACCAGGGCTGCGAACCGGTCGATCGTGTGTGGACCGAACATACGCTCCAACTGCCGGAACACAGACAGGTGCAAGGTCCATTCATGGCATAGTGGAATACGGGAAAGATCATCTGGATGTACGTTTAGATATCCCGCGATGTGATGAGCGACAAGCATAATCTGATGCTTAAAAGCAAAGGCCCAAATATTCTGGGCGATCGCGTCGAGTCGGGGCTGAGATGCCCCCAACCTGTTGATTAAGGCGACCACCGTGACATTATCTGACAAAATTTCGACAGTTTTGCCATAGAGCAAGTTCTTAAAAGATAACAGCGCTAGATAAACCGCTAACAACTCTCGAAAATTGGACGTTTCGGCGCTCACCTCTGGCCCTCAGAAGCCTGAGGCGGTTTGGCCGACAGGCGCGGAAAGGGTCGCACCCCAGCCTGTTCCTGATGCGTCCGTGCAGAGCTGAAAGTCGCATGTAGCCGGCGCGGCGGCACCAGCAGCCGGCCGTTCCACCCGTCCAACGACTGGATCCACCACGTCAGATCCTCTCTCGCCTCGGCCGACCAAAACATGGCCTCGTCCCACGTGTGCCTAGAATTGAGCATGCGGTAAACATTTCGTAGTTTTAACTTTGCTGGGAAAACAGCAGCCATCATGCTAATACAGCGTCCTGCTATTCGTGCCAGGAGACGTGCGGACACGGTAGGGCGTTTCAAGACTCTCGAAATATCCTGTTTGAGTTTTGAAACCTTGCTTTTCGGGACGGTTATAAGCGGGGGGTCGTTCTGATGAGCACAGTGTATATCAAAACCCAAATAAGACACCGTCTCTGAAGGATCCAGACATGATTTCTGCCGATTTACACACAAACCAAGCATTTCCAACGTGTCTAAGAAAACTCTGAGGTCATGCGACATTGCACTTTGGGTAGAGGTCAACAAAAAGTCATCGACATAAGCCATCACTGACAATTTTTTCTTCCTCTCAGGTGCTCGACCACAGCTCGAATACATTTGTGAAAATAATATGGACTAGCGACCATACCGAACGGAAGTACACACCAACTGCCACCGTACTGGAACCCCAAAAACGTACGATAATCTGCATGCACAGGGAAGTGATAAAAACCATCTTTCAAATCAACAGTGACCGCAAGTTCACCATTTCGCATCACTTCTGGCAGAACAGTCACACCTTCCGACGAAAAACGCGGCACTTCACAGTGGGGGCATTCCACGATGGATCAACCAAAAATAAATAAAATTTACACCCTCATATTCCATTTTTTGCTTAAAATTGGTCTAATGGGTTGTGATGGGCGGGGAACCCAGCTGTGGCAAGGATTTTTTTTCTTCGAACAACGGTTTCCGAGATATAGCCTCGGGCAGTTCCTGGAGGTCACACTGCAACCCTATGTTTGGCGGCTTATAACACGGAAACTATTGGTTTTCTATGGTAAAAACTTTATATGGTTCAACTCGCAATCAACCGACAAACGTTTTGGCTATCTCGGATTTTCGATTTTTGAAAATTTTTATCACGTGACATCTTGACCTTTTTTTCGAAGAGTGACCTTGATATTATCCCAACTGCAAGTCGCAATTTTGTCTGATGACGATTAAAGCCTTATCAATTTGCATTCATATGCGATAATAAAAAAGTGGCTTTCGGCCTGCGTTGACCTCAGGTCAGGTCATTTTTATGACCTTCCCATTATTACGAGCGGGAGCGACAGCGAGATCTCGAGAACAAAGCAAGATAGCGACAAGTGGTAAACGGCACAAAGTACACATGGATAAGGTCTACAATTTTTACTCAGGTCATTTTCAGGTCAGGTCAAAGATGACGTCACAGGGGTAAAAAGAAAGTCTAAATGGCGGCACTACATATATATGAAGTTTTTCTCGAATAACTTTCAACGTATCCCACCTAGGAACAAACTAATAGCACCATCGTGATCCTCTCGTCGATCCGCATCGAAACATGTGTATGTCGACCTCGAAAGGTCAAGGTCAAAAGTTGACCTTAGGTCACGTGACCTTAAGGTCATCATATATATCATTCGATGGGCCTTGACGAGCTGAACACAATGAGCCTATCCGCGTGGCTGTATCTCAAACCTGTAAGGAGTTATATTAAAAAAAAAACATTTGGTGGCCTTTAATGACGTCACATGACCCAAGAGCAACGTCACAGTTGACCAAGAGCAAAAAAGATCTCAAGGTAGTCAATGTTAGTCGTATATGAAGTCACTCATGGTATATTAGGCAATTCCGACGCGTTTTAGTGTAAAAACAAGGGAGCTGATTTTTCCCCAATTGACTTTTAATGGGGTGGTCAAGAAATTTACCTGATCTTAGGTCATCGGTATTGAAATTCAAAACGAACTGGCGCTAGGCGAAAGCAAACACAATGGTGCCTGTTCCACGTCTCTTTCTTTAACTGGTTCGCTACTAGAAGATTGGTGTATTCCTCTTGCAGGAACCTGAGTTGGGCGAGCGTTATCGTAGTTATCTCTTGGAGAACTGGCTCAGAACTGGTGCACTGAGATAACAATTTTAGCAAGGTTTCTTGAAAACGCGCACCCGGACCTTATGTATTTATATACATAAGGTCCGATCAACAAGGTGATTATAAAAACCACACCACTCGATGTATTTTGAGCTCCTGATTCCATATCTGATAGTTATTCATGGCGCAACCAAGTTTTAAAGCAACTGTGCAATATTTACCGTCGCCGCCGGCCACCATCCCACGACACCCGCCGTCAGCGCACTCCACCAGCCGTTTGCGCCACGTGAGATGGATCGAATGAATAAACTCCAAGGTTGAGTGAAAACATTACGCTATTCAATCTCATTATGAAAGTGACGTCATGAAAATGATCGTGGCGAAGCGGTGCAGTGCCGAAGGCAATGCCTTAGGAGAGATTACAGGCAATGGTAAGTCAAATATTTTTAGGTTAAGTGGTTGTGTATCTGGCCTCAGGCCGAAGGTCTGAGGCCTGATGCACAACCACTTAACCTAAAAATATTTGACTTACCATTGCTTGCAATCTATTCATGCGAGCCACTGTTTCCTTATCCCCGGGTAGGCAAAAATCAGTAGGTCAGGTAAGGTCAGGTTAGATTAGGTTGTGACAATTTTTGTCGTGCTTTTTCCTATCCTTCCCAACAAAACTCAAATTCTTTAAACATTTTTTTTTTCGTGTTTTGTTATTTTGACGTCACTTTCATCAAACAATTTAAATAGAGAAGATGTAATGCTTTTTACATTTAAATTGCTTTTTGATGATTTATTTTTATTTTTTATGTTCAAATAATATAATTATGATATATTTTCTATCAAATATGCCTAACAGCTATGACCTTACGTAAACTTCTTTCCATTCGTACCTGCAATTTAGAGCAGAAACTTCCGTTTCCGTTTGAGCAAACTGGTTTGAACCAGTTTTAGCAGGTGCTTTCCAGTGCTTTCCGCTTTCCCGCCAGTCTGTTAGTTGGATCATGGCTTCCGTGCCGGGTGGTTCGTTGTGCTCCGGGTGCAAGTGGGAGGAATACGAACTAGTTTCAGTTGCGTACCGCAACGAGGAACGCGTCCAGCGTATTTTTCGAAACCACGGTGAACTAGATTAGAGGTAAGTAAATTTCATCTGTCCGATCCACTTTTCAAGCATAAATTTTGCATATTCTTACGTTATTTGACATCCTGAATGTAGATAAGATGCTTACATGCGACGTAAAACAGTTCAACCATATTACAAATATTTGCTACCGTATTTGGGGAAATGTTGGGAACCGGGGTTTTTGGGTCGGGGAGGGAATACAATGCCGTAAGAATGGTCATGAAAGTTGGGGAAAACTGTTGGGAACCGGGGTTTCTCTCCCCACCCATAAACCCCGATTCCCCCTTTCCCACCCAAAAACCCCGGTTCCCAACAGTTTCCCCCAACTTTCATAACCATTCTTACGGCATTGTATTTCCTTCCCCACCCAAAAACCCCGGTTCCCAACATTTCCCCAAATATGGTAGCAAATATTTTTAATATGGTAGCACTGTTTTCCGCCGCATGTAAGCATCATATCTACATTCAGGATGTCAAATAACGTAAGAATATGCAAAATTTATGCTTGAAATATGGATCGGACTTTATGTAAATATTTACCCACTTCTGTATAGTTTGAAATTTCTGCCAGTCACCCCTGCTCACACCAGCTCTGGAATCACCCACCACCAGGTCTGGCGGTAGCTTGACCTTCGCCACGCTGTCGCGAATGGCCCTGAACTCGGCCTGCAGATCACTAAATGATCCGACTGCTGCAAATGCCTCACCGCCAGGCTGCGGCTGGAAGCCGAGATCTTCTGCTAGCTCTGCGACGGCCCGACGACCGGGATTGTCGCTCTTCAGCTGCTCGCTAAGCGAAGCCACCGACCCCTCCAACTGGGCAAATCTCTCCGCCAAAGCACTCAACTCGGCCTGGAGCTGGCCCTCCATGAGGAGACAGGCCGCCTCGAGATACCGGCGACCCGCACACAAACGGAGCGTCGCGGCCCGTGCGGAGCACCAACGCGGACTGACCCTGACCTGCGACCGAGCTCGCGGGTCGGGTCACCCCTGGCGGCGAATGGGGTAACTACGGATGCGGAGCCGCGGAAAATTTCAGACGGCTCGGGCTCCGGAGAAAAAATCTGCTCCAGCTCCGGGTGAAATGTCATGGCGGCTCCGGCTCCGGCTCCGAGTAAAATGGTCCGGCTCCTGCGGCTCCGGCTTCAGTACTCAGTACATCCCCTATGCAATTAAATACGGGTGGAACAAAAAATATGATGGGATTAGTACACGCTGGCTCTGTTTATGTACGGCCCTCCAGCAAAAGAGTGGTTGGTTAGCCTACGAGTATGTGCTTTTGGTGTAATAACTTTAAATGACAGAGACACTCAATAGGAATAGGAAAAATAGGAATAGGAAAGGACTCAATAGAAATGAGAAGAGGGTTCGTGCACACATTTCGGCGGTGGTTTTCAACAGCCATTAGACGTATTCATCTGGGATCACGACACGTACACTGAACTACAAAGGGACCCAACCGGTAGGTACACACGGGAGGTAAGGGGGGCACTAAAGGACTTAGAACAAAACATGGTGTGTCGTTTCGGGAACTAGCGACCCGCGGCCGGGCGCCGCGAATAGGTGCCCGCCATAGGGTTTTGGGGCTATTTTTCCACGTTTCGGTCTGAATCGTGAGAAGCACTGGTCGTAGCAAATATGTTCCCTGGTTTCTGAATTTTCAGCTCACGTGGAATGCGATAGGACAAGAGTCATTTTCTTACAGACAAAACTGTGTCCGCGTTTTTTGGTCAAAGTTAAAATGTTCAGCAGCTTTTAACACGTTGGCCGCCGCAAAACAGGGTACACCGGAGGACTTACGAATCAATATCTCCGAAGCTATCATAGATAGCAAATATGTTCCCTGGATCTATGTAGATAATACTTTAGAGAACACTTCAGGCCAAAAATTGTTTCTCGACAACTTACACCCAGCCCGCGTTTTTGGCTTAAATGCAATGCAACACGGCAGCCGACCTTTAGGGCTCAGTTAGCGAGTTTATTTTTTAGCGAGCACTTCGAGCATTTCAGCGTTCGATGAAATGACATATTTTTTCAGCGCAGTCGTTTCTTCATTTGCATCTAAACGCGACCTATATGATAATGTGACGGTATCGTCACACTAGAATGTGTAATTCATCGTAATTTATAGAGCTAATTCTCGGCGCACAGCAGCAGACGGACACCGACTGACCCACCATCTAAAGGCAGTTTGGCGAAGCAGTATCGTGAATCACAGCCGCGAGATGTCCCTAGCGTAGAACACCGTCTGTTTGCCCAGTTTAAATACGTAATGTTTGCCCTCTGTCAACCCCTCAGTCATGGGGCTGGGGTCGCGGATGAATGGGCGACCGCCCGCCGCGCGGGGAGGGGGCTGCTCCCCTGACCCGAACCGCCACGGCGTGGGGACGGTCCCACACTCGCGTGCCTCACGTCGCCGCCTCACACCGGTCAATTACGCTGGTTTTGAGGAACCGCTCATTGTGGTGGTGGGTGATCCAACGGAGACCATGCCAGAACCCCACTGAGGGGGTGTCACCCGTGTCAGCTGGCTCAGACCCATGATATCCCCTATCCCCATACCGAAAGCGACGTTCCAAAGAGCAATATGCGTATAGTAGGTATTATTGATGTTTAATTCAAGAATGTAGGTAGGATGTAAGTACATGCATGTAAGTACATACCTAGGGGAGACCCGGGGCCGGGAGGTATGGGCCGGGGGCCCCCTGGAGGTATGGGCCATCGCAGTTTTGAAGAAGTGTTGCGTATTTTTACACATTTGATCGCGTAAACTGGTAGCAGCCATTCCGCTGTACAACCCAAGTGATTTCCAAAATTTTCCTCAGTCTTCTTTTACAATGAGCGGTGATAAAGCGTTTTTGTCCTCTTCGAGTAAAATACGGGACCTACATACCTACAGAAAATTCGTGATAAATTTGAACCAGTCTCGTTTTATGATGTCAGACCATCGGTAATATAAAGTTTAAAGCATGCAAATTAAGACTGGATAGACAATTTGAAGCTTTCTTGCAAGATTATGAGCAGGGGTGTCGATTTTTCAAAATGGTTGAGGGTGCTCAACCCCTGCACCGGGTGACAGATTGCAGCTTTGCCATGCGGCACAACCGTACAAGGCGGGGTTGGTTATCCCCATAAGGTACTGATAATGCCGGGATTTCTATATACTAACATTTGCCAAGGGCAGAACTTTCTTCTTGAAAATCATTCTGCTCGTCCTAGTACTTGGCTACCTGAGTACATAAACATCTTTCCGAAAAAAAATATTTGCCGGCAGCATGGCAGCAGCCCCGACACCTCTGTAATAAGGTGACAGAAACCAATGACGGTGATTAGCACCGGTGCAGCAGCCGCTGCGGTCCGCAGGGGCGGACATTGCGCGGAGGCAACGGTAGCTACGAGGCTCTGGTTGGTAATCAGACGATCCCAATATCGATGAAAAATGATAGGTGATCGCATTTGGATATTTACGGGTTTACGATTTTCCCCAGTGGCGTAGCCAGGTGGGCCGTGAGGCACGTGCCCCCCCCCATCAGGTTCGGGCCTCAGGGTCCCCTCGGGTTATTCGGGCCTGAGGGGCCCTGAGGCGCCAATTAGCCGCTAAGGGTCAATGCTGGCCATATATTTGGACATAGAAGGGATCCACGGGGCTCGTAAAAACCCCTCATGGGCCCACAAGTACCAACACTAAGATCTCCACAAGGGCCCCAAGCCAATCTCTGAGGGCCATTTGGCGGCCTCTGAGGGCCCCTTACCGGCTTCGGAGGGCCACATGTCGGACTATGGGGGTCTTAACCGGCCTATTCCCAGCCAGCAAATTTGGTCCTGGCCGTAGCTGGTCTTACTCTGGCTAGCTCCGGCATTTCCTCCTGCTAAAGTACGGGCAAGGTCTGGGGCTCTACTGGAGCTGACACACGATACCGGAGCTCGCCCGCATCACAGCCGGACTTATGCCGCATCAGCCGTGCCGTACCTCCACCGTACTTCAGCAACAGTAAGCCAGAGCAGCTATGAGGTGCAGCCGGACCTGGTCGTAGGGAGCCGGACTTGAGCCATGGCAGGGAGTCTGACTTGAGCCAGACTTGGCGGTTCGGAACCATAACAACCCTGGAGCGCTACGGCATATACTGGCTAGCCGGAATAGAGCCGTATCGACCCAAACCCCGGATCTGACGGCGATACCCTCGTCAGTTACCAGCGACCCTCACGGTCCCACACAGGTGACTCGGAGGGTCACAGCGGCGTCTGAGAGCACCATGTCCGGTCTCTGAGAACCCCACAAGGCTCCTGAAGGCACCGGTGACCTCTTGATATCTTCTTGTCGGCCTATGAAGGGTCCGTTCCGTAACAGCAGTTCTGAGGGCCACACGCGCGCCTGTGATGGCCCTAAACCAGTGTCTCTGAGAGCCCCCACAACGGCGCCTGTGAGGGCCATCGCCGGCAACTGTGGAGCACCTACACCGGCGCCTCCGAGGGCCATACATTGCCATATCTGAGGGCCCCGCACTAGTGCCTCTTAAGGCCCTATATCGGCGGCTCTGAGGGCCCAACACCGTCGCTTCTGAAGGCCCCACAAGCAGGGATGCGGAGCCGGAGCCGGAGCTGGAGCCGGAGCCGCCGGAGCCGGTGTATTTTGCCCGGAGCCGGAGCCGGAGCCGGAGCCGTGAAACAACACAGCCCGGAGCCGGAGCCGGAGCCGGAGCCGTCAAAAAAGGGGCGACTCCGGCTCCGAGGAAAAAAAAAATATTGACCTAGCTCGGTTTGACAGTACAAAGCAGTAAAACATTTGGTATTCCAAATATCCTTGTTATGCAAATACAGAAACAACGTGTGCCAATCCAATCGCCTTTTTTCTTCCACCCGTATTTAATGAATCGCATAGGGAATGTACTGAGTAGGAGCCGGAGCCGGAGCCGGAGCCGCCGGAGCCGGACCATTTTACTCGGAGCCGGAGCCGGAGCCGGAGCCGTATTGACATTTCACCCGGAGCCGGAGCCGGAGCTGGAGCCGATTTTTTCTCCGGAGCCGGAGCCGGAGCCGTCTGAAATTTCCACGGCTCCGCATCCCTGCCCACAAGTGCACATATGACAGCCACCCACCGGTGACATTTGAAGGCCCCACACCGGCGACTCTGAGGGCCCCATCGGCGTCTGAGTCCGTGCCGGTCTCTAAAGACGACCCACAGGATTTCTGAAGGTACCACCGGCATCTGATGGCCCTTTGCCGGCCTCTGAGGGCCCGTCGCCGGTATCTGGAGCCCCCTGCCGGCTTGTAAAGGGTACGCGTTATCAGCTCTAAGGGTCAGACACTCGTGTACGACGGACCCACACCAGTGTCTCTGCAGTCTGCAACTTAACGTCTTTTTTCGCCCTTCTTCTTAAGACTAACTTTTCTTTTCTTTACATTTTTATTTCATGCATTGTAAATTGCGTAATTGTTTTATTTTTAGTAGTGAAAGACTGCGGAACCAATTATTTTCCTCAAGCAGAGTTAGTGGGAGTTATTGAGGGACAAAATAATTGGGGGTGCTGACTGGAACATTTGGGGGTGCCCGGAAAACCATTGGGGGTGCTCATTTGAGCATTGGGGGTGCTGCAGCACCCCCAAAAGTATACAAATCGACACCCATGATTATGAGC